TAGCTAGACCAGACAGTGTTAAGGCTGATAAAATGAATTTGAAACCAAATGAAAAGAAACTGTCACAAAATTGAACTTTGATTACTTTCTGGAGATCTTTCAATACCTAAAAACAAGACACTAATTTAATCGTCACAAATATGTCTTCACCAAAAAAAGTTTTTTGGATTTTGTTTTGGAGAACACAAATGCACAGAGAGGTTTACTGCTAGAAAACATGTAGCTTTAAGACTTACCGTATAAAATCGCTAAAAGAAGGGCGAGTAGCAGTGTTTTCAGAAGAATAAAGTTGAGTGTATCCCTTGCATTTCCTTCAGCTAAACAAAGTGAAACTTAAGCAGAGGCATTTTGCTTACAGACAGGTGTGTGATGGTAAATAAGCTTGCAGTGGGTCTGTGAGGCTGATTTGCCCTGTTTGATTGCGTTACCTGGGATTTACATCCCTGTGCATCCAAACTCATCTGAATTCGCTGTTCATAGGGACTTGGGCACAGAGAGATACAGAATTTGGCCACTGGGCTGTAAAATGGCATTAAGGGAATGCTTACCTCTCGCCGCATTCTAATGTAGAGATGAATGGGCTGGGGTTTGTTACATTGGTTTTGCATTTCCTTAGTTGAACATGCACTGATAAATAAGTTCTCTCAAATAACCTGTTAAGACCAGTAAATACCAGACTTTAATTATTAAATATATCGTAAATAACTCCTTCTCTTACCAAATCCATGTAGTGTCTGTCTTTATTTGTGCCCTTTGAAACATGCACTGCATTTCTGTGTGGGTGACTGTGTACAGTGCAGACAATCAGGCCTTTTTTTTCCCATCCATATTGTGCATTTAGCTGCAAATCTGAAAGCAGAACTGTGCGTCACACATTGCTGTGTGGCCTGAACTGGATGGTTCAAGCAGGTCAGACCTTTGTTTTAAGCTGTTTCTGCTGGGCAGCCAGTGCATTCTGCAGTCTTTTTGGATGGCTGACCAGCTGGTATCTCTGCCTTTTTCTTCCCACTTTGGCCTGGCTACGTTAAGGAGACAGCAGTCTCGGTGCTCGCTTCTGACAAGCGTCAGGAGCTCTGGAAGATGGAGGTTCTTGTCTCTCTTGCCCTTTTTTAATGCTGAGTACAATCTGTTCTGGGACAAGATCGACTAGAATGCAAACAAGATAAGGAAAAATTACCTTTTTGTCCTTTAGTTTTATCTGTTGGAGAGAAGGTCATATGGGTAGTGGGTAATAGTTGTTAAATGTAAAGCTTTTTGTAAAGTGTATAAATGATGTATTGGCATTTTGACAAATCAACAGACTTCTGAGTGCTCTAACACTATTCCTATGACACTTATGAATCAAGTTAGTAATACTTTAACATGAAATATTCTTTCTCATTTAAAATAAATAAGAAGCTCTATTTCCCTGCATATACAAGAGTTAAAGTAAGTTCCATCGCTGTCTTTTGTTGTTTCATTTTCCTATAGTGTTGTATATTTGCCTTTTCATATATTTTTCCCCTTTTGTTTCATAGATATCTAAAAGAAATTGTTTGAAGTCCATTTCTCTATATACAGTAGTATGGATCATTGTTTAATTTTAGACTCCTTCTATATTAAAAAGCGTGAGAGCCTTCATTAGCATAGTGTGGACAAATAAATTATTTTTTCCTAATACAAATTTCTTCAAAGACCAAACCTTATGAATATGAGAGAAATATTCAGCTCACATAAATTTATTTCTTTGCATGGTTCATAGCAGAAAGTTTCACTTTTAGTTTCACCTATAAGCTCATCATACCAAAGACAGGATTTAGAATCAAAACATGGCATCTTTGCTGTATTGATAGCACCGATTTGGACAAAAAATTACGATGAACAGAAATCTGAAAAATTGTAGCTAAACCTAAATTTGAAGTATCAAGGAGGATTTACTTTTTCTAGATGTATTCACTTCTAATTGTTACAGTAACAAAGAATTTGAAAATACTCATTGATATATATGTCAAATATGTACTTGATGATATATGCTGACAGACTTACTAAGAAAATGTGTATGCTCCACAATGAACACTTTTTTTTTTTAAGCTGCATGATAGTAAAAGTACTACGTATATTACTACAGGTTTACATTTCATATGTTTGGTTTATAATGTGAATCTAGTTCTGGTTTACTATTAATTTATATGTAAATTTTTCTTATAGTGTGGAAATAGATACTGCAGAGAAGGATGCAAGCTTTCTTTTAAAACTATTTTTTTTTTTTAGCAGTGCAAAGGGACTGTGGGTGGGATGAATTGAAAGTGTCTGTGGTGTAGAGCACAGGAGTAGGACCCATGAGACCTGATTCTCTTCCAGTTTCACCATTAGTTTACCAGGTAACATGGAGGAAGTTGCTTCATAAATCTACACCTCAACTTACTCACTTGTAAGTTGGAGATAACTGTACTGCCCTTATAAAACACGTCACAATTGAACTCTTCTAGGTGAGAAGTAGTTCTCATTATCATTTTCTTTTTTAGGAGACTTCCTACCACATAGTATATGCAGCCCAGATTAAATGATGAAGCCGTTATCTATGTGGTATACTGCAGACTACAGGATACATTTCATTTAACATGCACTTTTATTATACATCATACACTCAGCAGTAATTTTTTTGCCTTTCTGTAAGGAGAAGTGATAGGGAACATAAGAATACAGGAATGGTCTATAGAGATAAGTGTATTGCAATTTATTCCTGTGTTTCTGGCACTGAATACTGGAGCAGATTTACAAGTGGAATTTGCAGGGAAAAAAGTTATTACTGTCCCCATCTGCAAGGAAAACTGGTCCAGTGATTTGGACTGTACAACATAATTTAAATTCAGTTTCCTCTTCCATTGCAGGTTTCCTGATTTCCTTAAGCAAGTCACTTTTCTGTGCAGTGCAATTCTCCATCTGTAAACCAGGAATAATTGTACTTTCTATGGAACGTGTAACAGTTGTAAAGCTGGGCACAGAAAGCTGGTAGGGCACTCTGATACCACAGCTTCAGGGCCACAGAAGTATGGTGGGTAGATGCATGAGGCTTTGGAAAGACAAGAACTTCCAGAAACAAGTAAATGAGCTGAGAGCTTAGACCATCTGGGCCTGGGGTTCGAAGTACTGGAGAAAAACAAATGGGGTGAGGTAGACTTTTAGATGAAGGAATGCAGTTTTTTCTTTCTATTCAAAATTCTTTGACAAACTGTCTTGTGCAGTTTTCACAGCCGCTGTCCTGATACATGAAATGACATTTATGAAATCTATTTCTAAGCAAAAAATTCATTATAAGGTACATCTCTTGTTTTTTGAGGAAGAACAAAGTCTAAATGTTAAACTTAAATTTACTGAAAAAGCGTATAGAGAAAAATAAAACTCAGCTGGTAAAATCAAATGCTAAGTATTCCCTCAGAAAATCTTTTTCTCAAGTTAAATGTATAATTTAAAAATACTTTACCAAATAATACCACTTGTTTCACAATAGTCAGAATGAACTAAGTATCAGTCAAATGTTATTTGAAAGAGCTGATATACAGTATATTAAATAACAAAGATGCTGACACAGCCTTAACTGTAGTAGTTCTTCTAATTACTGTGCTATGCCACGTTATATTATATCACATGGCATAATTTAGTGTATCTTCCTTTGTCAATGTATTACCATTTTACAAATTACAAATGTTTTATAGGAGGGTAATTCATACTTGGACATAGTGCTAAAATGATGGAGTGATTTCCTTTTTTCTCAATCGTTGATCTTTCAAACTTTTTCATTTAGTGGTATTAATCATGTTTATTAGCTAAGTGTTGTCATAAAGAATGGAATTTTTCTGTTACTTTCATATTCAATTAAAATGGGTTTTTTTTGCTTGCTGCCTTTATCTGCTGCATCACAGTAATCTATTTACTTATTCTAATTGAAATTCTTGTTCATAAATTCAAAACAAAGTCAATACTGCAGTTAGACGTTTTCATAACAATCTATAGTGTAATTAAAAATGTGGGGTGTACCTGAAAAGGGCATGTACTTAAATACCTTTTTACTCTAGAAATATTCAATCTGACTTTTTTAAAGTGGTTTGGTTTGGGGACCAGATGTATTTTAGAATTCACTAACACGGTCTACTTAACGGCTCTTTAAAAGGAACTTGTTGTTATTCACATGTATAAGTGTAATACAGAAGAAAATTACAGTCTGTAAAATTGCTGCAGAACACCCTCTCAGAAGACCAAACAGATATTCTAGACCAAACCCGGGAGTGCTCAGCTTGCTCTACTGTGCTTCTGTTGTAGACAGTAGTTACTGTACATAATAAGTATCTGGACTTTTTAAATTGAAATTCCTCAATACTGATGATTTCCAAGCCTAACCTAAAGCCTGGCTTGTTTAACCTAGCGAAATGGTTTCACTTGGGACATCCCCAGGATCAAACCCAGCAGTAGAGAGAAAGCTGTTTAAGCTCAAAGATAACATAGCAGTGAGATAAATTGTTGTTACCTGTTCAGGGATGAATTTAAGCTAGAATGCTAGTGAGCGTTGGAGGGAGTGAACAGCAGAGCAACTCTCCAGAAGATTAAGAACAGCAAGAGACCTGATGAGTCCAAGAGTAGACACTGACTAGTCTCTGGCAGGGACTGGGTGGCCTAGTTCCCTGCGATAGCAGGAGATTGTGATTCAGTGTCTCAGATGCTCCCTTTTTGCCTTACTTTCTTGTGACTGATGTTTCCTTGGATTATTTTATCCCTAAATATTTAGCTTTTCCCGTTTCCAGAAACTACTGTTATGAAAGTAGGTGATGCTGAAAGTGTCTAATCATATTTTTTCCTGATGCATACTTACTAATTTATTTTTTAAAAATTCAGGTGTTGTTTTTGGATGCTGTGGTTGTGCTAGATGCTTAGCTATGATGAACATTAGCTCATTGCTAACCGAGCAAATTGTCTTTTGAAGAAAAGTATACGCTATCTGTGCTTTGTTTGACCCTGTTTTGCAGGTGGGAGTGAATCCTCCTGGGATAAAGACAAGCTTCAGTCTCCCATTACAACAGGATCACAGCACAGCATTGGTCATCCCACACTGTCAGGGCAGTCGAGCCTTGGAAGTGCACACCCACTCAGTCCTCTCCAGCAGAATCACCTGCTCACCAACAGTATGTACTGTGCTCTTAAGGGGGGGGGAAAAAGTACATGGAGCCCTGCTTGGGGGCTGGACTTGCATTCCTTCCCAACCCCCTGGAGGTGCAGGAGGTGGATGGGAGACACTCAAGGGACAGGAGGGTCAGTGCTCCTGCTGCCTGCTGTGCTTGTGCATCCTGTCCAAGCCACCTGCTGGGATACAGCCACCCACTGCTGGGTTAGGGACTGTCAGACCTTAACTGACATTTCCATGGCTGGACTGAAAGGAAAAATTACCATAAAGTCGCTTAAAATGTTAGCTATATGAGAAAATTCTCCTCCAGGTGAAAATGCTGACAACCAAATAAAAATATGAGAACAGGCAATAAATGCAAAATGTCTAGCTAAGAGCAAGCAGAAGCAGTCGCTCTGCATTGTTCTGCCTTGTACCTGCCAGATGTGGGCAAGGTCATCTGTTGAACCCAGCTACCCAAAGCAGCTGGAATAAAATGTCACGGATAAAGTTTGAATTTGGAACTGAAAGCTCCCTTCAAACCCATTTCTTTTCCTTCCCTTGAGAAGGGAACAGGTGGGAAGCCAGCAGTTCCCCTTCTCCTTTGCACCTGAAGAGGGTGCAAAGTTATTCCAAGAAAGACTACTATTGTAAAGATAAGTGAGGAGTGAAGTTAATTCAAACAGATGATGATGAAGCATGAAAATCTCACTATTTCTGAACTCCTGTCATTTGTTTAAGCTCTTCATTCTTAAAGTTTTGAAAGTTGATTTTTGGTGTTAGCTAGATGAATGACATTTCTGGCTACTTAGTCAATTTTAGGAGCAGATAGTTCCTTGCTACCTATGTAGGGCTCCAGACTTGAACAAATCAAAGCTCTTGAAATGTCTCCTACACTATGGGTCTGCTTTGTTCATTGGAAGGTGTGGACCTGAGCATCTTGAGTTGTCAGTAGTTAAGAATCCTCAGGTCATAGGACTCAAATTTACTGTAGTTTATCCTTTCATTTTCTATCCTTGCATAATTCAATACCTGTATATATATATTTTTATATAAGGATATTGTGTTCTTTGCTGTTAAAGAAAACTTTAAAGATTATTTTACAGTGGATTTTGTAGTAGGCAAATGTCTATAGGCTATTAAAGGGTTTATTGAATGTCAGACATTATGTCCAATGATTTGCAAGTGTAGGATATATTTTCATCATAGTCCTCTGAAATGTTTGACGGATTGTGTCTTAAAACTGGTGATGTGCTGTTAAATTCTGTTTGTAGTTTGCATTTAGTTTGCATGTCAATTGGACTTTAAGTAGACATACAACTCAACGTGGCCAGATGGTGTCTGGGAGTTTTGGAACTCTATAGAGTATGAAGAAAGATTATTGGGCTGTTAAGGGAGATATGCAGGGGAACAAAGGCTTATGGATGTAAGCACTGAAGGGGATTGTCAGTATGGTTTAAAGTGAAGGGAGATATATGTAGGCTTTGCTTAGTATCTATCATAATTAATATTGTCATGGATCATCATATAAAATATATAGTGAATCATAAGACATCACAGTTGTTGATCATGACATACTCGAGCTGAACAGAAATAGTGTGGGAGCTCAGAATACATACAATTCTGCCTTTCCTGGTGGGTGCAGTGGTGTTTTTATATTGCTGTAGTCAAATTGTACTGGAATAACATAAGCTATATCAGTCAATGGTATTTTTTATTGTGGGTTCTGTTATACATCAGAATGGTGAGTGGCCTTCTCATTTAAAGTAGTTAAGATAGAGCCAAAAGTTAAAAAACCTTTAGAAATATTAATGTGAATAGCAGATGGTTATGACTGCCTATATGACTGTTATTTACTACTTATACTTGAATTTTTTTAAATGAGAATTTCTAATTAAATTCATTTAGAAAAATGATAAGACATTTTGTCTGACAGAATGAGTCCTATATTTTATTTTTTTTTTAATAATTTTGGATGCCCAAAGGTAGCTATCTTCAAGTAGTGTCTCTAAAGAATTCTTACATGCAAAATAACCCAAAACAATTTTTTCAGTGAGTTTATGTCTTGGTGTTGCTTTCCGTTGTCGTCATTACTAAATACAATAAGTAATGCACATGATGAAACACAAGAATCCAGTTCTTGTCAGCAGTAATACCACCTTTTTGGCAATGTCAAGATCTGCAAGTCAGTTCAAATGAATTTCATACTTTTCTTAAACTGTTTCGTATCCATAGCAGAAGACAATTTAAAGTGACTTTTTGGAAATTAAAACCTCTGGCAACAATTTTAACCTCTCATCACATGTTCCAGTTCACAGACCGTCTGTACGGTAGTTCAGTAGTGTCTGGAGTCCAACCCACAGCTTCCTGTGTTCAAGAAATAGTCCTAATACAAAAAAATACAAAAACCTAGTCTCAGCTTACTGTCTATGTGAGGTAATGATAGCAAGAGGACATGGTAGGAGTATATGGTCAGATAAATATCTGTCTGATATATTGGAAAAACATGGAAAGATCTGCATGTTTTGTGGGTTTTTTCTTTATTGCTCTTAATAAAGAAATTACTGAATTTATACACTTACATTCGTTTTGCTAATATTGTGTTACTTTACAGCTGTATGGGGTTTTTTTCCTCTAATAGAAGCCTTTTTTGGAATGCAATGTCAATTATTTCCTATCTAACATCAAAATTATTAACACATAATAATACGGTGTTTGACTAGTCAATGTTCCAGTAGAAGACAGACTCTAAAAATTAAGGTGTTGGGTTATAAAATGAGTGACTGACACCCATAACCTGCCCATGCTCTCTTTTAGGGATAGACCTGCCGTTTATGATGATGCCCCACCCTCTGCTTCCCGTCAGCCTACCTCCCGCTTCGGTTGCAATGGCAATGAATCAGATGAACCACCTCAATACGATAGCTAACATGGCTGCAGCAGCCCAAATGCACAGCCCTCTTTCCAGGGCAGGGGCCTCTGTTATAAAGGTAAGAATCATCTGTGAGACTTAGGGGGAAAAAAAAAAAAAGCTTTTTGTGGCTAACAAAAACATTTACAGTGACTTTCTTAAGGAGGATAACTAAGAGGTAATGAGCTTATACTGCCTATAGCACACCTGGTCTGCTGTTCCTGATAGTGCTTCAGTCTGAGGAAACGCCCGTGAGTACAGTCAAGAAGTTAAGATGCTCTGCTCTAACTACAAATCTGTAATGTAATTAAAAACAGATACTAACACTCACTAGAAGCTGAGGGAATAAGTAGTACTGCATCTGTTAAAGCTCAAAAGCTATTCTAAAATGTTTAAAATCAGACTTAATGTTACACTTAAAAGAAAATCCTATAGAACATAAAGGAACTCTAGTGTGGTACAATTCCAGAACAGGTTAATAGAAGAGAAAATCATCAGAAGTACCTTAGTGAGTATAGTCTTTGGTACCACACCTAAATTTCCTTCTGTCTGGATAAAACATATTTATACTTTTGAAAGGCTTCTGATAGGCTCTTCCAAGCAGGTTGTTGAGAAAATTTCATGCCTGTGTTGAGAGCTGATGTCCTGACACACACTAAAAAAATCTGTTGAGACAAATTTCCAAAGGAGAAGGGTATAGGATCAGTGCACGTGAGGGATTGGTGCTATGGCATTCTCTAAAACAGTGTCCTCTTTTTTTTTTTTTTTTTTTTTTTTTTTTTTTTTTGTGTATTTACATGTATATACACGTTTCTTCTTGACAAAATTTTGTTAGCTATCAAAGGTAGTTATTAATCCAATTTTCTTTGTTTTTAAATATGTGAGTCTGTAGAGCTATCTGTTCTGGAAAGTACGTATCTTTTATATTTATGCTCTTTTACACTCAGATATCCCCATCATACTGGAATCCCACAGTTCTGAGTTGCGTTATTCTAATAACTTTCACTGATTTGCTGAACTTAATGTCTCGTATCTTTATTGTAAAGCATCTTAATGATAAAATATGGTTATTTTATCATTGAGAAAGTTACTGTTGCCAATATTACAGGTCAGTTCTAAGAATAAATCTGTGGGGTTGTGGTGGGGTTGTGGTGCACTTTCTATTGTCACAGCTTGCCACTGCAGGAAATTTTGTTTCTACATCAAGGGGGAAAAGAAACTAGGAGTACAAAGCCACATGTTTATTCTTCACACTCGCATATACTGATATCAACATGCTTTCAAGGAAGAAAGCAGATCTCTTTTGTCACATTACAGTAGCATAAAATATTATATCTCTCTGTTGCCGAGGTTCTGGAGGTCTTTGTTTTTCTTCGGATCTCCGTCTTGGCCCTGAGCATCTCCAAAATTGCCTCAGGTTGTTTTTCTTCGTTGTGAGTCCACTTCCAATTTAGGGCAAATTTTGTTTTTAATACTTTGATTTTGGTTTTAATACTTCAATTTTGTTTACATTTTGTTTTCTTGGATTCTGGGAGGCTGGTAAAATTCAAGGAGGGCATTCCCCAGGTAGAGACTATTTAGGAATAAGATCTGTAAAACCAACTTCTTATCATTATTGTATTGTCACAGTTGTTCATTGGGCGGGGGAGCCATGATATCTCTGATGTGCAACTGTCCATTAGTTAATGCGAGTCACTGAATTGTTAGAAATGAATTGAAGTTCCATTCATTTCACTCAGTAACCTTTTCTTTAGCTGTTTAGAGACCTCTTGAGAAAACCATAACTTAAATACAGCAGCAGAATATTTGTAGAAGCAAGTAGACTGCATAAGATTTGATTATATTTGAAATGCAATCTGTATGTCAGAATGAAGATTAAGTATGGATTTGTAAACAAGCTAGTTCTTTGTAATATAAACTACAGGTTTTGCAAGCAGTTAGGTTTAAGGATGCTCTTTAGCAGGACCTTGCTGATGTTAGTTACTCATTTAAAGCTATTTTTTCCCCAACACCTGCACTAGAGGATACCCAATATCTCCACAGCAGCATTAGGTCTCACCAGCACTCTAGTGGGAATTATTTCCTCCACATGATGTAGAGGAAGATACACCGGTAGCTAATGTGGCAGAGGTAAAGTGTGCATCCATTGCTGTCTTACTCTCACCTGTCAAGTAATGCTGCATCTTTCTCTCATTTGTTCTGAGTGCTGAAACTGTAGATGAATTTTATTACAGACACTGTGAGGCTCTTTTTGTCCTTTCCTTCTCTTACATACAATCATCTAGCTCTGGATGACAACTAATTAAGATGAAATCCTTGTACAAAACACAACATGTAAAAGATATTGCTGCTGTTGTTATCTGTCAGCAGTATTTTACTATATTACATTATTTTAGTACATTTAATAAGTACAAAAAATGACTAGTTTTAGATAGACTGCAATTCCAGCATTTTGGTGTTAGTTAAAATGGGAGAAATGAATCGAATATATTGAGTGCGTATCTATTTCCATATTCTGATGACTAAAATACCACTTGGCCTGTTTTCTATAGGTGTGAGAATCAGCTGCGTTATAAAGGTTTTGAATGAAGTCATTATGCTTTTTATATCACGTTTGCCATTTAGAAATAAGCTGTTCTACCAAGATATGCATGATCAGCAAAGTTAACATTTAGTGCTCCAGAAAGAAATGTCATAACTATGAAACTTGATTTCTTCCTGACAGGAACACTATAAATTAGGCAGGCACAATGGCCAGGCTCAAAAAACCTTCTTAGCCATCTATAACATGATCTGATGTGGTTATAGCAGCACCCACTAGCAGTGCTGTAGCTACGGTTCTGATAGTGCCCCTGTAATAAATCCAATCTTTCAGGGATTTATTGCACATCTGAGCTAGCTTGCTTTGTTTGAAACTTCACTCAAATGGTTCTGAAGAATCTGTGTATTTGAGGGTGTCATATGCCAAAAAACAAAATTTGGCAGCAGCACTGACTTCACCACCATGTCTCTTCTCCCTCTTGCTCTACTGTTTTGGTTTGTTTTGGTTTGGGTTTTTTTTTCCCCAGAGCTCTTTTTCAGTTGTATATAACTCTGCAATCCAGATACTGGCCTGGGTGTAAAATGCTTTGCCAGCCTGGTCTTGAGAACCAGCCTGGGGTGGAACTTAGCTGAAGTACAAATGAATCATGGTTGAGGCTGGAAACAGTAGTGAATAAATGTATCACTTCACTGTCATTCAGTAATTTTGTTCCCAAAACTCAGAAAAATCCACTCAGTGACAATATTTTTGGGTCTTCAGAAGTGAAGTTTGCCTGGGCCCTTTATACAAAAGAGAAGGGGTTTTTTTTCACTGAAATTTATAGAACAACTCAATTCCAGAGAGCAATAACTACATAACATTATGATTTTTCTTTTACAGTGGACCTATAATGAATATGACTAATTATGTAACTAATTAATATGACTATTAATCCACAGCATATTATACAGTGTATCAAAAAAGGAACTTCTAAGATGAATGCTGGGAACACAAATTGAATAGAATGCTGAAAGCATTCCTAAATTGTCACAGATCCTTTAAATTTAATGTGGTCCAAGGGAGTTGAGACCTCATGGCACAATGTGCACAGCAAATACATGAAGAGGTGTCACAGCAAAAGTGGGAATAACTCTTGTGTTTGCTGACAACACTTCTGGACCTCAGATTCAGACCGTACCCATATAATGGGCCACGTCTAGAGCAGGATGAGGCCTCACGCTGTGGATGCTCAAGCTGTGTACAGTAAGGCATCAGGAGTGTTAAGGTTGTGTCCTTAAGCCTAAAGGCTCGATTTATACAGGTTAAGCCTGAAGGGGCTTACGTGACTGAAAAACATTAGCTGACATGATTTCAGACAAAAGGCAGGGAGAGGGTGGAGGGGAGGTTTGGGGTTAGGGAAGAGCCAAGTCTCTGGTGCCAGTCCTATATTCACTGAAAGGCCACTGTCCCAGACATCCTTTGGAACAGGTTGGTGGGAGATACTGTGGTTTGAGTGGGCTTGAAATTGTGGGAACTCAATCCAAACCAGAAGCCTTAAGCTGCTCACTTTTATGTTAGATATCAAAACAGTACTGAGAGTAATGAGGCAAAAATTTATCGCAGAGTTTTGAGAGGTTTTTTTACCCTTTTCTCCCAGTTTTTCCTTGCTTCTTGTTCTATTCACCCCCATATATTTTGCACTTCCCTTGCTCCTCTTGCTCATACCTCACCCTTCCTCCTCCATTTCTTCTCCTTCTTGTCGTTCTCTCTCCCTTCTGGCTCTCTAACAACCTCTTCTGAGCCGCTGAGAGATGTGATTCTCCTGAGTAGGAGTATTTCTGCAAATTGGTTTCCTGCTGTCCATTTTTCTTCTATCATCATTCCCTCATGCTTGCTGTTTTCCTATTTTTCTCTTTTTTCTCTTACTCTTTCTGCTATTATCAAGGTCCCAATTAGCAATAAATAACACATTATTTTGAACGCAGTTGGAAAACCCAGAGAAAATAAGTTAAAATGTAATAGAAATACTTTGTTTAAAAAAAACCCTCAAAATAAAGCCTTTTTATTTTTCTATTTGAAATCTTACTACTTTCAGTATTTTGCCCCAATGTACTTCAGAAACAAACCAAAACCCACCACTTCCCCTCCCGCCCCCACTTCACCCCTGCCCATAGAAGAAGAAGAAGAAAAAAAAGGACATTTTAGGTGAAATGCAATTTTTTGTTTTGGTAGGGAAACTGAAATCTTGGACTTCACATCAACTCTACACAATTTCTGTCTGAATGTTTTGGTCTACTGATAGACAGTACAAAGCCTTATTTGTACAGTGTGATCTAGACATGTACAGATTTTTGAGTCTCCTTTTCTTTGTGTTCTGCTCTTTCCCTAATTTTGTGGGATTGTTAAAGCATTTCTAAAGGATGTATATGACATGATTTTAAATTCCCTAAAGAGAATACAGATGGGCTGTGTAATTATTGCTGAGAGGTGATATTTTCTGTGTGCTGTACAGCTCATATTCATAATATTTACCTGACAGCCAGAAAAATGTGGCCATC